CACTAGCCCATGGAAATGGCTGGAGCGGAATAGGTGGAACGGTATCAAATACATCAAACACATGGTTTCCATGTGTTTGATGCCATTCCATTCGCTCCTTTCCAACTAATATAATGAGCCATCCTCCCCTCAGCAGCCTCCACTGATATATATATATATATATATATATATATATATATATATATATATATATATATATATATACACTATATAGATAATAAAAAAACTATATCATATTTTTTTCTATGTGTACATGTTCTGTAGTGTAACCTAATGTATATTATTCTGTTATTTTCTTGTCATTACAGAGGTGAAGTGAAATGGTCAAACAAAGGATGTTCTCCGCGTTTCTCTCCCTCTAACAGGATGCTTGACCTGACCTTACCTGGTGCAACCTGGTGTTCAACCTGAAATGGGACATACTGTTCTCACTCACCAGGCAATCCCAAATTGTCCCCTAAACCCTATGCACTTGTGGAGATCTGAGATTATTTGATTGGTATAAGCAATATGGTGGAACTTCTATGTGTGACAAAGTGTTTATTTGGAAATTTGATAGCACATACAGTACCAGTCAAAAGTTTGGACTCACCTACTCATTCAAGGGTTTTTCTTAATTTTTACTATTTTCTACATTGTAGAATAATAGTGAAGACATCAAAACTATGAACTAACACATATGGAATCACTTAGTAACCAAAGAAGTGTTAAACAAATCAAAATATATTTTATATTTGAGATTCTTCAAAGTAGCCACCGTTTGCCTTGATGACAGCTTTGCACACTCTTGGCATTTGTACTATGTAAATAAAACTATGCACACACATAATGTATGGCATACAGTGGCTTGCGAAAGTATTCACCCCACTTGGCATTTTTCCTATTTTGTTGCCTTACAACCTGGAATTAAAATGGATTTTTTTGGGGTTTGTATAATTTGATTTACACATATTTTGTATTGTGAAACAGACAATAAATAATACCCCAAAAAAACAGAAAACTTGAGCGTGCATAACTATCCACCCCCCCCCCAAATGCAATACTTTGTAGAGCAACCTTTTGCAGCAATTACAGCTGCAAGTCTCTTGGGGTATGTCTCTATAAGCTTGGCACATCTAGCCACTGGGATATTTGCCCATTCTTCAAGGCAAAACTGCTCCAGCTCTTTCAAGTTGAATGGGTTCCGCTGGTGTACAGCAATCTTTAAATCATACCACAGATTATCAATTGGATTGAGGTCTGGGCTTTGACTAGGCCATTCCAAGACATTTAAATGTTTCCCCTTAAACCACTTGAGTGTTGCATTAGCAGTATGCTTACGGTCATTGTCCTGCTGGAAGGTGAACCTCCGTCCCAGTCTCAAATCTCTGGAAGACTGAAACAGGTTTCCCTCAAGAATATCCCTGTATTTAGCGCCATCCATCATTCCTTCAATTCTGACCAGTTTCCCAATCCCTGCCGATTAAAAACATCCCCACAGCATGACGCTGCCACCACCATGCTTCATTGTGGGGATGGTGATCTCGGGGTGATGAGAGGTGTTGGGTTTGCGCCAAACATAGCGTTTTCCTTGATGGCCAAAAAGCTAAATTTTAGTCTCATCTGACCAGAGTACCTTCTTCCATATGTTTGGGGTGTCTCCCACATGCCTTTTGGCGAACCCCAAATGTGTTTGCTTATTTTTTTCTTTAAGCAATGGCTTTTTTCTGGCACTCTTCCGTAAAGCCCAGCTCTGTGGAGTGTACGGCTTAAAGTGGTCCTATGGACAGATACCCCAATCTCTGGTGTGGAGCTTTGTAGCTCTTTCAGGGTTATCTTTGGTCTCTTTGTTGCCTCTCTGATGAATGCCCTCCTTGCCTGGTCCGTGAGTTTTGGTGGGCGGCCCTCTCTTGGAAGGTTTGTTGTGGTGCCATATTCTTTCCATTTTTAAATAAAGGATTCAATGGTGCTCTGTGGGATGTTCAAAGTTTCTGATATTTTTTTATAACCCAACCCTGATCTGTACTTCTCCACAACTTTGTCCCTGACCTATTTGGAGAGCTCCTTGGTCTTCATGGTGCCGCTTGCTTGGTGGTGCCCCTTGCTTAGTGGTGTTGCAGACTCTGGGGCCTTTCAGAACAGGTGTATATATACTGAGATCATGTGACAGATCATGTGACACTTAAATAAAGTCCACCTGTGTGCAATCTAACTAATTATGTGACTTATGAAGGTAATTGGTTGCACCAGATCTTATTTAGGGGCTTCATAGCAAAGGGGGTGAATACATATGCACGCACCACTTTTCTGTTATTTATTTTTTAGATTTTTTTTCATTTCACTTCACCAATTTGGACTATTTTGTATATGTCCATTACATGACATCCAAATAAAAATCCATTTAAACTACATGTTGTCATGCAACAAAATAGGAAAAACGCCAAGGGGGATGAATACTTTTGCAAGGCACTGTAGTCTATTGTAGGTGTGGCAGGGACAAACTATACCAATTTGTATATGTTTTGGAATTAAGTGCACTATTCATGTAATGGATGAATAACTGACACAAACACAGAAACAACTTTAATGGAATATTTTTGCTAATGTTTTTTATAGCAGTGGGTGGCCCTAAAAAGAGCCTTTTGGGGTGGCACTGTGGAAGAGGATAGTCATGGATGGATCAAACCACCGCGTGCTGCCATGGGACTGACTGCACCAGCTGGAGAGAAGGAGTAGGTGGTCAGGGTCTCCCTCACTTGATTTGGCTCCCTGGTGCCATTGTTGGCTCCAGCAAGAGTGACCTCTCACAATCCGCTGCTTGGAACGCCCACCTCCATCTGTGTCAACCCCTGGCTCAGGGACCCCTGGGATGTTCTGAGAAAGTTGTGGAGGACGCAGGTAGCCTTCACACAGATCTCAACGTTTTCCGACTTCAGTGCAAGCACCCGCCAGTACATCCGCCACCGGGCAGAGGGTGCCAAAGGCGCACTCCACCACCAACCTGGGCGAGACAGCTGGTAGTTGAAGATCCTTCGAGGACTCCCTGGCTCCTGCATAGGGGGCTGATCCCAAGTGGTCTGAATCTGGGAGTGTGTCTGCTGGTGGGATCCCCAGAGTGCCATCTTGGAGAGCTTGGCTTAAGGCAGACTCCCTGAGTGTCCCTCCATCACTTGCCCTACCATAGGTGCCAAAGTCGTTGACTCTGAAGCAGTACTTTGCGTCAACCACTGCCAAGAGGACGATGGAATAGGTCCCATTGTACAGTTGAAGTCGGAAGTTTACATACACCTTAGCCAAATACATTTAAACTCATTTTTTCTTAATTCCTGACATTTAATCCTAGTAAAAAATTCCCTGTCTTAGGTCAGTTAGGATCACCACTTTATTTTAAGAATGTGAAATGTCAGAATAATAGTAGAGAGAATGATTTATTTCAGCTTTTATTTCTTTCATCACATTCCCAGTGGGTCAGAAGTTTACATACACTCAATTAGTATTTGGTAGCATTGCCTTTAAATTGTTTAACTTGGGTCAAACGTTTCGGGTAGCTTTCCACAAGCTTCCCACAATAAATTGGGTGAATTTTGGCCCATTCCTTCTGACAGAGCTAATGTAACTGAGTCAGGTTCGTAGGCCTCCTTGCTCGCACACGCTTTTTCAGTTCTGCCCACAAATGTTCTATAGGATTGAGGTCAGAGCTTTGTGATGACCACTCCAATACCTTGACTTTGTTGTCCTTAAGCCATTTTTCCACAACTTTGGAAGTATGCTTGGGGTCATTGTCCATTTGATAGACCCATTTGCGACCAAGCTTTAACTTCCTGATTGATGTCTTGAGAGGTCACTTCAATATATCCACATAATTTTCCTTCCTCATGATGCAATCTATTTTGTGAAGTGCACCAGTCCCTCCTGCAGCAAAGCACCCCCACAGCATGATGCTGCCACCCCCGTGCTTCACGGTTGGGATGATGTTCTTCGGCTTGCAAGCAACCCCCTTTTTCCTCCAAATATAACGATGGTCATTATGGCCAAACAGTTCTATTTTTGTTTAATCAGACCAGAGGACATTTCTCCAAAAAGTACGATCTTTGTCCCCATGTGCAGTTGCAAACCGTAGTCTGGCTTTTTTATGGAGGTTTTGGAGTAGTGGCTTCTTCCTTGCTGAGCGGCCTTTCAGGTTATGTCGATATAGGACTCGTTTTACTGTGGATATAGATACTTTTGTACGTGTTTCCTCGAGCATCTTCACAAGGTCCTTTGCTGTTGTTCTGGGATTGATTTGCACTTTTCGCACCAAAGTACATTAATCTCTAGGAGACAGAACGCGTCTCCTTCCTGAGCGGTATGACGGCTGCGTGGTCCCATGGTGTTTATACTTGCATACTATTGTTTGTACAGATGAACGAGGTACCTTCAGGCGTTTGGAAATTGCTCCCAAGGATGAACCAGACTTGTGGAGGTGTACAATTTTTTTATTTTCCCCCCCCATGATTTCAAGCAAAGAGGCACTGATTTTGAAGGTAGGCCTTGAAATACATCCACAGATACACCTCCAATTAACTCAAATGATGTCAATTAGCCTATCAGAAGCTTCTAAAGCCATGACATAATTTTCTGGAATTTTCTAAGCTGTTTAAAGGCACAGTCAACTTAATATATGTAAACTTCTGACGCACTGGATTTGTGATACAGTGAATTATAAGTTAAATAATCTGTCTGTAAACAATTGTTGGAAAATGTACTTGTGTCATGCACAAAGGAGATGTCCTAACCGACTTGCGAAAACTATAGTTTGTTAACAAGAAATTTGTGGATTGACTCCAACCTAAGTGTATGTAAACTTCCGACTTCAACTGTAGTTATAAAACTGGGAACCAGAACACAGAGGTGCCTGCATAACCACATGCTTTCCATACATTGATCCAAGGCAGAGAAAGTTCCTCTTCTTCCACAATGGACCTCCGGTCTTCCTCCTTGGGGGCAGGCATGTACTCCTTAACCAGGTCATCCCAAATGGCTTACTTCACTGTGGACACAATGTTTGCCACTTTGGACCAGCCCACACTGTAGCTGAATGCAATGGTCCGGAACGAGTCACCAGTTGCAAGGAATCTGCTAATAAAGAAACAATGAATGTTGATATTATGTTATTATTTAGCCTACCCCCTGCTACGTACATTCAATCTAATCAGTAGGCCTAGTCTATTCACCATTGCCTCGTTATAAATTAATTATAATCTGGCAAACTATTGTTTCATCCATGTTGTATTGTATTGTAAGCTATACCAAATGGAGACGCAGGGAGTCAGGAAGCTGGTGTTGAGTTTAATATAAACAAACATGGTGCAATACAAAACAAGATGAGCGTCTGACATGAAAACAAAACCAACACTGCATGGTGAGAAATGCTACAGAGTCCTAGATATAGGGGAAGTAATCAGGGTAGTGATGAAGTCCAGGTGTGCCTAATGATGGGGCGCAGGTGTGCGTAATAATGGTTAGTAAACCGGCGACGTCGAGCGCTGGAGCGGGGGAGCGGGTGTAGACATGACACAAACTCATTATAGGCTAGTTGTCACATCCTGATCTGTTTCACCTGTCTTTGTGATTGTCTCCACCCCCCTCCAGGCGTCGCCCATCTTCCCCAATATCCCCAGTGTATTTATACCTGTGTTCTCTGTTTGTCTGTTGCCAGTTCGTTTAGTTCTGTCAAGGCTACCAGTGGGTTTCCTCTTGTTCCTGGCGTTTCTCAAGTTCCTGGTTTCCCGGTTTTGACCATTCTGCCTGCCCTGACCCTGAGACTGCCTGCCGTTCTGTACCTTTTGGACTCTGACCTGGATTACTGACCTCTGCCTGCCATTGACCTGTCCTTTGCCTGCCCCCTGTTTTTGTAATAAACCTTTGTTACTTCGCCTCTGTCTGCATCTGGGTCTTCTCCTGAAACGTGATACTAGTACATTTTAGCTTACAATGTCGATAGTCTCATTTACCATGAGCAATTTTGTGGCAACTATTAATTAAGTATATACATAATGTGGGTACACAAATGAACAGAGACAAATTACGAGTCGTTCAGCGGGACTGATGGGCTCGCGGTAGTTGGTCTTCATCCTCGCGACGCTTGCTCCTATCTTGGTGAGTAGGAGGTCAAACTGGCCCCGGTCAAGTCGAAAGTAGCGTCGGAACTCAGTCCGAATTCCATGACCAGCCGATGGTACTCCCCGTGCTGATTTTCTGGTCTGTAGCAGTGGGTGGACCCAGAAAACCTAGGGCGCCTCTGGGCCCTACTGTACTAGGGAATGAGCAGGAGCTTCCTCAACTAGTAAAACTAAATGCATGCTTTTCAATCGAACGCTGCTGGCACCCGCCCACCCGACTAGAATCACTACTCTCGACGGGTCTGACCTAGAGTATGTGGACAACTACAAATAACTAGGTGTCTGGTTAGACTGTAAACTCTCCTTCCAGACTCACATTAAGCATCTCCAATCCAAAGTTAAATCTAGAATCAGCTTCCTATTTCGCAACAAAGCCTCCTTCACTCATGCTGCCAAAAATGCCCTCGTAAAACAAACTATCCTACCGAATCTTGACTTCGGCGATGTCATTTACAAAATAGCCTCCAACACTCCACTCAGCAAATTGGATGTAGTCTATCACAGTGCCATCCGTTTTGTCACCAAAGCCCCATATACTACCCACCATTGTGACCTGTACACTCTTGTTGGCTGGTCCTCACTACATATTCGTCGCCAAACCCACTGGCTCCAGGCCATCTATAAATCACTCCTAGGCAAATCTCTGCCTTATCTTAGCTCATTGGTCACCATAGCAACACCCACCCGTAGTATGCGCTCCAGCAGGTATATCTCACTGGTCAACCCCAAAGCCAATACCTCCTTTGGCCACCATTCCTTCCAGTTCTCTGCTGCCAATGACTGGAACGAACTGCAAAAATCTCTGAAGCTGGAGACTCTTATCTCCCTCACTAACTTTAAGTATCAGTTGTCAGAGCACCTTACCGATCACTGCACTTTTACACAGTCCTTCTGAAATTAGCCCACTCAACTACCTCATCCCCATATTGTTATTTATTTTGCTCATTTGCATATTTTCTGTGGTATTCTTGACTTTATGTTTTGTTTTACCCCATATGTAACTCTGTGTTGTTGTTTTTATCGCACTGCTTTGCTTTATCTTGGCCAGGTTGCAGTTTTAAATGAGAACTTGTTCTCAACTGGTTTACCTGGTTAAATAAAGGTAAAACATTTTTTTTTAACTACTTTGATCTCATTGTAGTAGATGAATGAAAACTTTTCAGTGAGCTAGCCTATATATACCAAAATGTCCCCCCAATTTTTTTCTTAAAAATACCCTAAATACCGTGCAGATTTCACTAGCAAATAATGAATATATATATTTTTTATCTTGTTGCTATCCCATAGCTGACAGCTACACACAAGCACCTTCTTCGGTGGTTTCTCTACTTCGGTGGTTTCTACACTACTTCTGAAATCCAATGCATGCGATACACTGCACGCAAGGCAGATGAATTGCAGCGGTGTGGACTGTATCCCATTGAAATGAATGGACTTCAGCTGGAATGCATATAACTTGATGCAAGCTGTGTGCACGCGGTGTGAGACGAGGCAATTGTAATTGCTGCTGACCTTAGGCATAAAGGCGGGGTTGGGTAACAACATTACCTTGGAAAACCCCGGGGCAAACTGTAGGAACTAATGGTGGACTGAGTGCATGCAGCTCACTCACTTACTCGGCGGATATAAGGGTAATTAGCAGGAGAGATATTTTATCTGCACGCTTTCCAGCGGCTCAAAGGGTTGCTGAGAAATTGCCTCAAGCACAATAGATGGGGCTAAAGGTTTGAAGACTGGGCGTAAGTGACGTGCACAGCGCACACTCATGAAACAACACAACAGCGGGTGTTTCGCAACTGTGTTTTGACAAAGCCTATATGACAGGTCGAGATAGCGGCTAAATAGACCTTAACAGTGGAAAACGCCTTCCCTCTGTCCAAAAGGTCCTTAAAAGAAGCATACGACCTAGGATACAGAGCATTGGTAGGGAATTAACTGTTTTAAGTCATACTACTTCTAAAAAATGCACCACATTTTTCCAAACAGTAAGCGTGTAGAAGGGGCTCTTGTGCTCTCGATAGTCTCAATGACTCCGAGAGGCAAGCCTGTCGCATTCAGATTTATCCTCTCACAGGCATTCAGATTGATCCTCTCACGAGCAAGGCCAGGGGGTTTCCAGGTCATGGTGGAAAATCTCTCCATTCGCCTGGGTCCCAACAGATCCCTGCGTAACGGAAAGTGCCAGGGCTCGTCGTAAAGCAGGAGAATGATCTCCGCTAACCAGTCTGCCTGGCCATCGAGGGGCTGTTCAGAGTGGGAAGAATCAAGCATAGAGGAGGAAATGCGAAGAGCATCACTCTTGGCCAAGGGTGTGCCCCAGTGGTGCATATCTCACTATAGCAAAGAACAATGGCCAGTGCGTGTCTTTGAGCAATGCAGGATATCTACGGTGGCGAGACCTTATCTCTCCCAGATCTGGTTCACCACCTGGAGATGGTCTCCAGTCATATAGCAGTGGTGGTAGGTGCCGTTTAATATTAGGGAGGACAATTTTGTAGCAGTGATAGATAGCCAGCTAGCTAACAAAAATAGCATTCCTCTCTGTTTGAGTCAGGTTGTTGAGTAGGCTAAAGTAGCTGCACTAGCTAAGTAAGTATGACATCAACTAAGAAGAAAAAATACATAGAAATATAGCTAGCTCTCTCTCTGCTGCTTCTCCTTAATTTTTGAAGAAATTAGTTTATTTAAAACTGTTCAACTATTGTCTTTCTCTCTCTTTGAGTCAACTACTCACCACACTTTATGCACTGCAGTGCTAGCAAGCTGTAGCGTATGCTTGCATTCTCTGATCCTTTGATTTGATGGACAATGTCAGTTCATACTGCATGAGCTCTGATAGGTTGGAGGACGTCCTCCAGAAGTCATCATAATTACTGTCTAAGTCTATGGAGGGGGGTGAGAACCATGAGCCTCCTAGGTTTTGTATTGGTTATTGTACCAAGAGGAGAACATAAAATAGCTGTCCTCCAGCTATACCATGGTGCTACCATAGAGGGTGTTGTTGAGGCTACAGTAGACTTTCATTACAAAACAGTGTGTTTTAATCAGTTATTTGGCTACATATTTAGTATAGTTTTATCTGAAAATGATAACTTTTTTTATTTTGTTATTTCACTGAGTAGGATGGTCCTCCCCTTCCTCCTCTGAGGCGCATCCACTGCCGTTTAGGGAATTCCCTCTGGACAACAAGTCTGCTCCCACATTCCATACGCCTGGGACATGAGTTGCGCATAGTGAAAGTAGGTGTGCGCTGCTCCACAGAAAAATCTTGAAAGATAGTCTGTGTAGATGCAGAAAGCTTGTACCACCCAGGCAGTTGATGTATGCCACCATAGTTATATTGTCTGTCCTGACAAGGACGTGACAATTCCGAAAGAAGGGCAGAAAGTGCATCAATGCATGAAGCACTGTCAGCAGTTCAAGGTAATTTATATGAGCGTGGCGGAGCTGTGGGGACCATAATCAGTTTATTGCTCTACCATTGTGAACTGCGCCCCACCCTGTGAGTGACGCATCTGTCGTCACTACCTTCCTCGATGACACTACCCCTAGGGGAATGCCAGAGACGAAGATCCAGGGGCTCCTCCAGTGACGCAGTGCTGAGAGAAAGTTTTGGGTCACCGCTATGGGTGTGGGCTTTACCAAGCCTGGCCTCTGCCTGTTTACAGACATTGATAAACCAGAAAGTTTCATCGGGTGCCGACGCTGCACTGAGATTGGAGGAGGGCCTCGAGTCGCGGGCTTGAGTCTCCCCTTCCTCCTCTCCCTCATCAATTTTGAGTATTTCTTCCTCATCGATATCGACGTGCTCGTTTTCCTCGTCCACTATTTCGGTGTGATACAGTGATTCGAGGACCCTGTATTCCATTTCCTCCTCCCTACTATCATAGCCCCGCACGGGTGTGCCGGTTCTGGGGCTGGGGCAGGCGGCCTGCCAGGTTCTCCCTGAGCAGGGGCAGCAAGCTCCATTGCTCTGAGAAATAGTTTTCCTTGTGCAGTGTAAGCTAGCTAGCGTTCGCCTCGTGGCTTATAGCCTAGCTGGTTAGAACACCGCTAGCCGGAAAAAGTGCATACTTTCTTTGTTGTAGCTAGCCTTGTGGCGAGTTACACAGGTTAGCTTATGCCTTGCGGCAAGAGCTAGCCCTTTGTGTGGTTAGCTAGCCTTGCATCTAGTTAGCCAAGTTAGCCAAAGCCTTGCGGCAATGGCTAACCAAATCTCAACAGCTAACTTTGTGATTGGTTACTTTGAGCTTATGGACACGCCCAGGCGTATCCCATAGTGAGACATCGAAATGAGTATTTGAAACAGTACACTACGTCCTAAATATCCAACAATGTATAATGCACAACTACCTTTTCAAAACATGTAGTGTTCTCTTCAGCCTTAAAAGCTATATTGATTAATATTGTCCTTGTACACAGGAACCTCAGGGGCCTCTCTCTCACAGTTTTACACTGGAACCTCAGGGGTCTCTCTCTCTCTCTGTTCTACTTCCAGCCAAGACATTTAACTCTGTCTGTCCCGCAGGACACCAACTCTTCAGCTCCTGAGTGTGAGTGTGAGAGAGAGAGAGAGAGAGAGAGAGAGAGAGAGAGAGAGGGGCGCGTTCTGAAGCCATTCGAATGTGTGACCTAGTGGCTAATACAAGAGCTAATCCCAGAGGCCTCTGATTTACAGAGGACAACCTACTGGCCCCTCCACAGTATGGGAAATTAAATGTACCCAACCTTTGGCTGATAGGCACAGCACAGAGTACATAATGTCTCATCTTGAAACACAGGCACCGACACCGAAACAGGCATAGGCATGGGCAGAGGTACAGGCACACACCACAGGCATAGACATAGACCACAGGCAGAGACACGCATGCTGGCATGCATGCACGCACACTGCATGGAAAGATGCAGGGACGCACGCACGCTCTCTCTCTTTGAATATAGAAAGCCACTTTCTACACATAACATCCACGTCAAACTCAATCCCTGCATTGATAATGCACAACATTTATATTTTCTCAGCATCCACGCAACTCCACCACGAGCAACGATTTACACCAATTTAATAGGTTCTGCCTTATCAACTACACGACTGCTGAGGAAGGCAAATTGCCAGCAAACGAAGTGTGTCTCATTTCAAATATAAATGTGTGAGGGCTACAAGTGAGCTGATAATAGAAGGTAAAGTCTATTTTATTTATTCATTACAGAACGGAGAGAGAAATAGGAAGAGGAAGAGAGAGAGAGAGAGAGAGAGAGAGAGAGAGAGAGAGAGAAAGAGAAAGAGAAAGAGAGAGACTCCCATCTGAACTGATCATGATAAGTCATTATATACAATACTGTATATATACAAAAGTATGTGGACACCCCTTCAAATTAGTGGAGTCGGCTATTTCAGCCACACCCATTGATGACAGGTTTATAAAATCGAGCACACCGCCATGCAATCTCCATAGACAAACATTGGCAGTATAATGGCCTTACTGAAGAGCTCAGTGACTTTCAACGTGGCACCGTCATAGGATGCCACCTTTCCAACAAGTCATTTCGTCAAATTTCTGCCCCGCTAGAGCTGCCCCTGTCAATTGTAAGTGCTGTTATTGTGAAGTGGAAATGTCTAGGAGCAACAACGGCTCAGCCGTGAAGTGGTAGGCCACAAAAGCTCTAATAACGGGACAGCCGAGTGCTAAAGCACGTAGCGCATAAAAATGGTCTGTTCTCGGTTGCAACACTCACTATCGAGTTCCAAACTGCCTCTGGAAGCAACATCAGCACAAGAACTGTTCGTCGGGAGCTTCATGAAATGTGTTTCCATGGCCGAGCAGCCGCACACAAGCCTAAGATCACCATGTACAATGCCATGCGTCGGTTTGAGTGGTGTAAAGCTCACCGCCATTGGACTATGGAGCAGTGGAAACGCATTCTCTGGAGTGATGAATCACGCTTCACCATCTGTCAGTCCGACGAACAAATCTGGGTTTGGCGGACAACAGGAGAATGCTATCTGCCCGAATGCATTCTGCCAACTGTAAAGTTTGGTGGAGGAGAAATAATTGTCTAGGGCTGTTTTTCATGGTTTGTGCTAGGCCCCTTAGTTCCAGTTGTCGTGATGTGACTTTCATTAATATGATGACTGTTATTTATAGAATCAACTAACTACATTTAATTGTTACTCGATTAAATTCATCATGTAACAATTAACTCATTAGGATTTGGGGCACCACGGAAGAAGTTGTTTCTATAGTTACCATCTCCCAAATTAAACTCTAAAGGTCTTTACCTATCAATATGTACAGTACCAGTCAAAGGTTTGGATACACCTATTCATTCAAAGGTTTTTCTTTATTTTTACTATTTTTTACATTGTAGAGTAATAGTGAAGACATCAAAACTATGAAATAACACATATGGAATCATGAAGTAACCAAAAAAGTGTTAAACAAGTTAAACAATATATTATATTTCAGATTCTTCAAATAGCCACTATTTGCCTTGATGAAAGCTTTACACACTCTTGGCATTCACTCAACCAGCTTCATGAGTTAGTCACCTGGAATGCATTTCAATTAACAGGTGTGTCTTCTTAAAAGTTAATTTGTGGAATTTCTTTCCTTCTTAATGCGTTTGAGCCAATCAGTTGTGTTGAGACAAGGGGGGGGGGGGGGTATACAGAAGATAGCCCTATTCGGTAAAAGTCCATATTATCGCAAGAACAGCTCAAATAAGCAAAGAGAAACGACAGTCCATCATTACTTTAAGACATGAAGGTCAGTCAAAACTGAACATTTCAAGAACTTTTAAAGTTTCTTCAAGTGCAGTCACAGAAACCATCAAGCGCTATGATGAAACTGGCTCTCATGAGGACCACCACAGGAATGGAAGACCCAGAGTTACCTCTGCTGCAGGGGATAAGTTCATTAGAGTTTCCAGCCTAAGAAATTGCAGCCCAAATAAACGCTTCACAGTTGAAGTCACAGACACATCTCAACATCAACTGTTCAGAGGGGACTGTGTGAATCAGGCCTTCAGGGTCGAATTGCTGCAAAGAAACGACTACTAGACACCAATAAAAAGAAGAGACCTGCTGAAACAGGAGCAATGGACATTAGACCGGTGGAAATGTGTCCTTTGGTCTGGAGTCCAAATTTGAGATTTTTGGTTCCAACTGCTGTGTCTTTGTGAGACGCAGTGTGGGTGAACGGATGATCTCCGCATGTGTATTTCCTACCGTAAAGCATGGAGGAGGAGATGTTATGGTGTGGGGGTGCTTTGCTGGTGACACTGTCTGTGATTTATTTACAATTCAAGGCACACTTAACCAGCGTGGCTACCACAGCATTCTGCAGCGATACGCCATCCCATCTAGTTTGGGCTTAGTGGGACTATCATTTGTTTTTCAACAGGACAATGACCCAACACACCTCCAGGCTGTTTAAGGGCTATTTTACCAAGAAGGAGAGTGATGGAGTGCTGCATCAGATGACCTGGCCTCCACAATCACCCGACCTCAACCCAATTGAGATGGTTTGGGATGACTCGGACGGCAGAGTGAAGGAAAATCAGCCAAGAAGTGCTCAGCAAATGTGGGAACTCCTTCAAGACCATTGGAAAAGCATTCCTCCTGAAGCTGTTTGTGACAATGCCAAGAGTGTGGAAAGCTGTCATCAAGGCAAAGGATGGGTACTTTGAAGAATCTCAAATATAAAATATATTTTATTTAGTTTAACACTTTTTTGGTTATTACATGATTCCATATGTGTTATTTCATAGTTTTGATGTCTTCACTATTATTCTACAATGTAGAAAATAGTAAAAATAAAGAAGAACCCTGGAATGAGTAGGTGTGTCCAAACTTTTGATTGGTACTCTATGTGCGTGACTAGTTTCGGGAAACTAGGCGTATGTTGCATGTCACTACTTCACAGGAGAGCCATTTGAACGTATAGTGGCTTGCAAAAGTATTCATCCGCTTTGGCATTTTAACCAATTTTGTTGAATTACAACCTGTAATTTAAATGGATTTTTATTTGGATTTCATGTAATGGAAACACACAATTGTACAAATTGGTTAAGTGAAATAAACCAATTATCTTCTGAAGTCACATAATTAGTTAAATAAAGTCCACCTGTGTGCAATCTAAGTGTCACATGACACATGTGACAATGCCAATAGTGTGCAAAGCTGTCATCAAGGCAAAGGGTGGCTACTTTGAAGAATCTCAAATATATAATATATTTTGATTTGTTAAACACTTTTTTGGTTACTACATGATTCCATATGTGTTCATTCATAGTTTTGATGTCTTCATTATTATTCTACAATGTAGAAAATAGTAAAACTGAAGAAAAACCCTGGAATGAGTAGGTGTGTCCAAACTTTTGACTTGTACAGTATTTTATAAATACACTGCATTCGGAAAGTATTCAGACCCCTTCCCTTTCGCCACATTTTGTCACGTTACAGCGTTATTCTAAAATGGATTAAATAAAACATTTTCCTTATCAATCTACACACAATACCCCATAATGACAAAGCGAAAACAGGTTTTTTGAATTTTGCAAATGTTTTAAAAATTAAAAACAGAAATACCTTATTTACTTAAGTATTCAGACTCTTTGCTATGAAAGTCGAAATTGAGCTCAGCTGCATCCTGTTTCCAATGATGATTCTTGAGATGTTTCTACAACTTTATTGGAGTCCACCTGTTGTATATTCAATTGATTAGACATGATTTGGAAAGGCACACGCCTGTCTATATAAGGTCCCACAGTTGACATTGCATGTCAGAGCAAAAACCAAGCCTTGAGGTCGAAGGAATTGTCCGTAGAGCTCTGAGTCAGGATTGTGTCGGGGCACAGATCATGGGAAGGGTACCAAAAAATGTCTGCAGCATTGAACATCCAAGAACACAGTGGACTCCATCATTCTTAAATGGAAGAAGTTTAGAACCACCAAGACTCTTCCCAGAGTTGGCCGCCCGGCCAAACTGAGCAATCGGGGGAGAAGTGCCTCAGTCAAGGAGAGGACCAAGAATCCGATAGTCACTCTGACAGAGCTCCAGAGTTCCTCTGTAGATATGGGAGAACCTTCCAGAAGGACAACCATCTCTGCAGCACTCCACCAATCAGGCCTTTATGGTAGAGTGACCAGACAGAAGCCACTCCTCAGTTTCCCAAAAGGCACCTAAAGGACTCTCAGACCATGAGAAATAAGCTTTTATGGTCTGATGAAACCAATATTGTACTCTTTGGCCTGAATGCCAAGCGCCATGTCTGGAGGAAACCTGGCACTATCCATACTGTGAAGCATGGTGGTAGCATCATGCTGTGGGGATGTTTTTCAGTGGCAGGGAATGGGAGACTAGTCAGGATTGAGGGAAAGATTAATAGAGCAAAGTACAGAGAGATCCTTGATGAAAACTTGCTCCAGAAACTCAGGATCTCAGACTGGGGTTAATGTTCATCTTCCAACATGACAACGACCCTAAGCACAAAGCCAAAACAACACAAGAGTGGCTTCGGGACAAGTCTCTGAATGTCCTTGAGTGTCCCAGACAGAGCCCGGACTTGAACCCGGTCGAACATCTCAGGAGAGACCTGGAAATAGCTGTGCAGCGACACTCCCCATCCAACCTGAAGGAGATTGAGGTGATCTGCAGAGAAGAATGGGAGAAACTCCCCAAATACAGGTGTGCCAAGCTTGTAGCGTCATACCAAAGAAGACTCTAGGCTGTTTTTGCTGCCATTGGTGTTTCAACAAAGTACTGAGTAAAGGGTCTGAATACTTATGTAAATGTGATATTTCCATTTATTTATTTTATAAATGTGCAAACATTTCTAAAAACCAGTTTTTGCTTTGTCATTATGGGGTATTTGTGTAGATTGATGAGAAAAAACAACAACAATTGAATCAATTTTAGAATAAAGCTGTAACGTAACAAAATGTGAAAAAAGTCAAGGGGTCTGAATCCTTTCCGAATGCACTGTATATACAGTGAGGTAAAAAATTATTTGATCACCTGCTGATTTTGTACGTTTGCCCACTGTCAAAGACATGATCAGTCTATAATTTTAATGGTAGGTTTATTTGAACAGTGAGAGACAGAATAACAACAAAAACATTCAGAAGAATGTTATTTTAGTGTTCCCTTAATTTCTTTGAGCAGTGTATATATACACAAGGGGTCTGAGGATCTCATCTCGGTACCTAATGGCAGTCAGGCTACCTCTGGCGAGCACATGGAGGGCTGTGCGGCCCCCCAAAGAAATGCCACCCCACACCATGACTGACCCACCCTCCAAACCGGTCATGCTGGAGGATGTTGCAAGAGGCAGAACTTTCTTCACGGCGTCTCCAGACTCTGTCACGTCTGTCACATGTGCTCAGTGTGAACCTGCTTTCATCTGTGAAGAGCACAGGGCGCCAGTGGCGAATTTGACAATCTTGGTGTTCTCTGGCAAATGCCAAACGTCCTGCACGGTGTTGGGCTGTAAGCACAACCCCCACCTGTGGACGTCGGGCCCTCATACCACCCTCATGGAGTCTGTTTCTGACCGTTTGAGCAGACACATGCACATTTGTGGCCTGCTGGAGGTCATTTTGCAGGGCTCTGGCAGTGCTCCTCCTGCTCTTCCTTGCACAAAGGCGGAGGTAGCAGTCCTGCTGCTGGGTTGTTGCCCTCCTACAGCCTCCTCCACGTCTCCTGATGTACTGGCCTGTCTCCTGGTAGCGCCTCCATGCTCTGGACACTACGCTGACAGACACAGCAAACCTTCTTGCCACAGCTCGCATTGATGTGCCATCCTGGATGAGCTGCACTACCTGAGCCACTTGTGTGGGTTGTAGACTCCGTCTCATGCTACCACTAGAGTGAAAGCACTGCCAGCATTCAAAAGTGACCAAAACATCAGCCAGGAAGCATAGGAGCTGAGAAGTGGTCTGTTATCACCACCTGCAAAACCAGTCCTGGGGGTGTCTTGCTAATTGCCTATAATTTCCACCTGTTGTCTATTCCATTTGCACAACAGCATGTGACATTTATTGTCAATCAGTGTTGCTTCCTAAGTGGACAGTTTGATTTCACATAAGTGTGATTGACTTGGAGTTACATTGTGTTGTTTAAGTGTTCCCTTTATTTTTTTGAGCAGTGTATATATACAGTTGAAGTCGGAAGTTTACATACACATAGGTTGGAGTCATTAAAACTCATTTTCAACCACTCCACAAATTTCTTGTTAACAAACTATAGTTTTGGCAAGTCGGTTAGGACATCTACTTTGTGCATGACACAAGTAATTTTTCCAACAATTGTTTACAGACAGATTATTTCACTTATAATTCACTGTATCACAATTCCAGTGGGTCAGAAGTTTACATACACTAAGTTGACTGTGCCTTTAAACAGCTTACAAAATTCCAGAAAATGATGTCATGGCTTTCGAAACATCTGATAGGCTAATTGACATCATTTGAGTCAAGGTGAGGTGTACCTGTGGATGTAGTTGAAGGCCTACCTTCAAACTCAGTGCCTCTTTTCTTGACATCATGGGAAAATCAAAAGAAATCAGCCAAGACCTCAGAAAATTGTAGACCTCCACAAGTCTGGTTCATCATTGGGAGCAATTTCCAAACGCCTGAAGGTACAACTTTAATCTGTACAAGCAATAGTACGTAAGTATAAACACCATGGGACCACACAGCCGTCATACCGCTCAGGAAGGAGACGCGTTCTGTCTCCTAGAGATGAACGTACTTTGGTGCGAAACGTGCAAATCAATCCCAGAACAACAGCAAAGGACCTTGTGAAGCTGTTGGAGGAAACAGGTACAAATGTATCTATATCCACAGTAAAACGAGTCCTATATCGACATAACCTGAAAGGCCGCTCAGCAATAAAGAAGCCACTGCTCCAAAACTGCCATAAAAAAGCCAGACTACGGTTTTCAACTGCACATGGGGACAAAGATCGTACTTTTTGGAGAAATTTCCTCTGGTCTGATGAAACAAAAATAGAACTGTTTGGCCATAATGACCATCGTTATGTTTGGAGGAAAACGGGGGTTGCTTGCAAGCCGAAGAACATCATCCCAACCGTGAAGCACGGGGGTGGCAGCATCATACTGTGGGGGTGCTTTGCTGCAGGAGGGACTGGTGCACTTCACAAAATAAATGGCATCATGAGGAAGGACAATTATGTGGATATATTGAAGCAACATCTCAAGACATCAGTCAGGAAGTTAAAGCATGGTCGCAAATGGGTTTTCCAAATGGACAATGACCCCAAGCATACTTCCAAAGTTGTGGCATAATGGCTTAAGGACAACAAAGTCAAGGTATTGGAGTGGCCATCACAAAGCCCTGACCTCAATCCTATAGCAAATGTGTGGGCAGAACTGAAAAAGCTTGTGGTAGGCTACCTGAAACGTTTGACCCAAGTAAAACAATTTAAAGGCAATGCTACCAAATAATAATTGAGAGTATGTAAACTTCTGACCCACTGGGAATGTGATGAAAGAAATAAAAGCTGAAATAAATCATTCTCTCTACTATTACTCTGACATTTCACATTCTTAAAATAAAGTGGTGAGCCTAACTGACCTAAGACAGGGAATCTTTACTAGGATTAAATGTCAGGAATTGTGAAAAACTGAGTTTAAATGTATTTGGCTAAGGTGTATGTAAACTTCCGACTTCAACTGTATACAGTGGGGGAAAAGAAGTATTTAGTCAGCCACCAATTGTGCAAGGTCTCCCACTTAAAAAGATGAGAGAGGCCTGTCATTTTAATCATACGTACACGTCAACTATGACGGACAAAATGAGAAGAAAAAAAATCCAGAAAATCACATTGTAGGATTTTTAATGAATTTATTTGCAAATTATGGTGGAAAATAAGTATTTGGTCAATAACAAAAGTTTCTCAATACTTTGTTATATACCCTTTGTTGGCAATGACACAGGTCAAATGTTTTCTGTAAGTCTTCACAAGGTTTTCACACACTGTTGCTGGTATTTTGGCCCATTCCTCCATGCAGATCTCTAGAGCAGTGATGTTTTGGGGCTGTCGCTGGGCAACACAGACTTTCAACTCCCTCCAAAGATTTTCTATGGGGTTGAGATCTGGAGACTGGCTAGGCCACTCCAGGACCTTGAAATGCTTCTTACGAAGCCACTCCTTCATTGCCCAGGCGGTGTGTTTGGGATCATTGTCATGCTGAAAGACCCAGCCACGTTTCATCTTCAATGCCCTTGCTGATGGAAGGAGGTTTTCACTCAAAATCTCACGATACATGGCCCCATTCATTATTTCCTTTACACGGATCAGTCGTCCTGGTCCCTTTGCAGAAAAACAGCCCCAAAGCATGATGTTTCCACCCCCATGCTTCACAGTAGGTATGGTGTTCTTTGGATGCAACTCAGCATTCTTTGTCCTCCAAACACGACGAGTTGAGTTTTTACCAAAAAGTTATATTTTGGTTTCATCTGACCATATGACATTCTCCCAATCCTCTTCTGGATCATCCAAATGCACTCTAGCAAACTTCAGACAGGCCTGGACATGTACTGGCTTAAGCAGGGGGACACGTCTTGCACTGCAGGATTTGAGTCCCTGGCGGCATAGTGTGTTACTGATGGTAGGCTTTGTTACTTTGGTCCCAGCTCTCTGCAGGTCATTCACTAGGTCCCCCCGTGTGGTTCTGGGATTTTTGCTCACCGTTCTTGTGATCATTTTGACCCCACGGGGTGAAATCTTGCGTGGAGCCCCAGATCGAGTGAGATTATCAGTGGTCTTGTATGTCTTCCATTTCCTAATAATTGCTCCCACAGTTGAATTCTTCAAACCAAGCTGCTTACCTATTGCAGATTCAGTCTTCCCAGCCTGGTGCAGGTCTACAATTTTGTTTCTGGTGTCCTTTGACAGCTCTTTGGTCTTGGCCATAGTGGAGTTTGGAGTGTGACTGTTTGAGGTTGTGGACAGGTGTCTTTTATACTGATAACATGTTCAAACAGGTGCCATTAATACAGGTAACGAGTGGAGGACAGAGGAGCCTCTTAAAGAAGAAGTTACAGGTCTGTGAGAGCCAGAAATCTTGCTTGTTTGTAGGTGACCAAATACTTATTTTCCATCATAACTTGCAAATAAATTCATTAAAAATCCTACAATGTGATTTTCTGGAGAAAAAAAATCTCAATTTGTCTGTCATAGTTGACGTGTACCTATGATGAAAATTACAGGCCTCTCTCATCTTTTTAAGCGGGAGAACTTGCACAATTGGTGGCTGACTAAATACTTTTTTTCCACACTGTATATATATAACTCAGTCAGGGTCTCAACTTATTCTTGAGAATTAGAGTAATAGCCACAAGGTGCAGTTTCAAAATTTCCCATGTCAGCATTTCTTTCTAGATTGGTATGTTTGTCTAGCGGCCAGCTATCTAAACTTATAGTAAGCATGGTCGAATTACCGTTATCATATTAAAAACTGCAAACTTTTGCCTCCACACTATGGGAAAATGTGTAGAATTGCAGGAAATTATCTGTACAACTTCTCTCCGCCCCATGGCAAAAAATAATAATAATGAATGATGGCACTGGTGCCCATCTTGCACATATCAATGGCCATCTTAGGTCTTACCAGAAATGAAAAACAGACACATGGATTAAATGTATCACAATATCTGTTCAAAACATAAAAAATGTAGATTTTGAAACATCAAATTTGACTTTAAATGTCAATTTAAATACACTGTATATGTTTATTTTGATAAAATTTAAACCATTTACTTGTGTTACAAAACATTAATAAAATAAAAGGTGTTACTGCTTGACAGATAGTGTCTCTTTTCAAAACTTACCTCCATTGGCACTTTTAAGCAAGAAATATGTTGCCGCTTTTAGGGTTAAAGCCATATGGAAGATATGGCTTACTAAAATATTCAAGATAATCATATTGAGTGTAAATAGCTGACTATAACATAGCCTGAAGATCAATGTGTACCATTGCGTTTACATAACTTAGTCCCAAACTTTGTTGACTGTCAGTGTACACAGTACAGTACATTGTTAACTGTTAACACCTTCAGTATGTACATAAAATAGACTGGTTTGTATTTCTATTACAGCTACAGCCTACTGAAACATAAAGCAACATAGCCTAACAGCCAACCATTCAATTTATTTAATGTAACAGCCAACAGTGCCATCTTTCCTTTAAATAAAACACATAAAACATTTTAAAAGCTGCATGACGGTTGTCAGATCACAGCTTGCTACTGTACTCTAGCACGGCTCCTATGATTTATTGAGCAGAGAGAGAAACACATTTTCATACATTTACAGAGGAGGCTGCTCTGCTACTCCGCTTAACTTCACCTTTGGCAAATGGCTCCCCATCTATATGTGGGTTAATGTACCAAAACCGCAGAGAAGAGAGAGTGCGAGAGAAAGAAAGAAAGAAAGAGAGAGAAGAGATAGAGAAGAGTAGCAACGTTTCAGTTTTTCCACGTCGTACCGTACGTTGGCGTGTTTTTATAGAGTCAGTCGGCGTAACCTGTTCATGAGTCATTGAACCCCACCGCGCCATGCCCATGCAGGGTATTGTGTGTCATTTGGAGAAGTTGTTAGCCGTAGCTGGCCAATATTGACTTTTTACTCTTGTGGTTTTATGTTACTGCTGAATTCAGCACAGTCCTCCCTCCTGCTCCCCTCTTCATCCCTCCCGCACCTCATCTTCATCCCCTTCATTCCCCTTTTCACTGCAAATTAAATATTGATAAGAGGTATTGCGCCCTCTCTAGCCCTCTCTCCTCTCTCTCTGTCTGTGCTGGAATCTGTAGGAAGATGAGGGTGAATACAAAGGAGGAGAAGAGATAATAACAGAGAGGTGGGGTGTCATAATGAGTTATACGGTTGAAGTCGGAAGTTACATACACTTAGGTTGGAGACATTAAAACTCGTTTTTCAACCACTCCACAAATTTCTTGTTAACAAACTATAGTTTTGGCAAGTCGGTTAGGACATCTACTTTGTGCATGACACAAGTAATTTTTCCAACAATTGTTAATAGACAGATTATTTCACTTATAATTCACTGTATCACAATTCCAGTGGGTCAGAAGTTTACATACATTAAGTTGACTGTGCCTTTAAACAGCTTGGAAAAATCCAGAACATGATGTCATGGCTTTCGAAGCTTCTGATAGGCTAATTGACATCATTTGAGTCAATTGGAGGTGTACCTGTGGATGTATTTCAAGGTCTACCTTCAAACGTAGCGCCTCTTTGCTTGACATCATGGGAAAATCAAAAGGAATCAGCCAAGACCTCAGAAAAAACATTGTAGACCTACACAAGTCTGGTTCATCCTTGGGAGCAATTTTCAAACACCTGAAGGTACCACGTTCATCTGTACAAACAATGGTATGCAAGTATAAACACCATGGGACCAGGCAGCCGTCATACCGCTCAGGAAGGAGACGCGTTCTGTCTCCTAGAGATGAACGTACTTTGATGCGAAAAGTGCAAATCAATCCCAGAACAACAGCAAAGGACCTTGTGAAGATGCTGGAGGAAACAGGTACAAAATTATCTATATCCACAGTAAAACGAGTCCTATATCGACATAACCTGCAAAGCCGCTCAACAAGTAAGAAGCCACTGCTTCAAAACCGCCATAAAAAAGCCAGACTACGGTTTGCAACTGCACATGGGGACAAAGATCATACTTTTTGGAGAAATGTCCTCTGGTCTGATGAAACAAAAATATATAACTGTTTGGCCATAATGACCATCGTTATGTTTGGAGGAAAAAGGGGGCTGCTTGCAAGCCGAAGAACACCATCCCAACTGTGAAGCACGAGGATGGCAGCATCATGCTGTGGGGTGCTTTGCTGCAGGAGGGACTGGTGCGCTTCACAAAATAGATGGCATCATGAGGAAGAAAAATTATGTGGATATATTGAAGCAAAATCTCAAGACATCAGTCAGGAATTTAAAGCTTGGTCGCAAATGGGTCTTCCAAATGGACATGACCCCAAGCATTCTTCCAAAGTTGTGGCAAAATGGCTGAAGGGCAACAAAGTCAAGGTATTGGAGTGGCCATCACAAAGCCCTGACCTCAATCCTATAGAAAATGTGTGGGCAGAACTGAAAAAGCGTGTGCGAGCAAGGAGGCCTACAAACCTGACTCAGTTACACCAGCTCAGTCAGGAGGCCTTCACCCAGCTTATTATGGGAAGCTTGTGGAAGGATACCCAAAACGTTTGAACTAAGTTAAATAATTTAAAGGCAATGCTACCAAATACTAATTGAGTGTATGTAAACTTCTGACCCACTGGGAATGTGATGAAAGAAATAAAAGCTGAAATAAATCATTCTCTCTACTATTACGCCGACATTTCACATTCTTAAAATAAAGTTGTGATCCTAACTGACCTAAGACAGGGAATATTTACTAGGATTAAATGTCATTAATTGTGAAAAACTGAGTTTAAATGTATTTGGCTAAGGTGTATGTAAACTTCCGATTTCAACTGTGGGTAGGTTGATTGGGTGTGTAAACGGGTGTGTATTGATGAATTTGATGTTTTTGTATGCATTGATACTAGTTAACCTTGAGCGGTAAAATATGTTATAAGGCTAGGTTATTCTGCTATCAATACCATCAAAACATACCATTGTCATGACAGGCTGAGGATCAAAGGACTCAGATCAGCTTGGCAAATGGCTGACAACAAACAGACCCTATCGTCCACAGAAGAGGGGAGGGGGAGCTGGGCCGGTTTTGACACCTTAACACTCGGTCATTTCTCTCCTGCTCTCCAGTTTCGGTAAAGGAATGTGCTTGGTCTCCAGAAGACTTTTGCCGCCAAAACTTTTATGTCCAAAAAAGAAAACACTGGAACAATATTCCTAACATCCGAATGTTTAGAATGGTCAGTGGGGATCTAAAGACTAATCATGTCATAATGTTTATTATTTTGTGATGTCATTAAGGATGGTATCAAGAAATAACTGTAACTCGGAAAGTGTACATATTCTATTTGTCAAGTTTACACCCCAATGTTGTATAAAATATATGATTAAAGATTAGAGTATTTCTGTTAAGATAGGAATGTGATTTTAGTTTTCTAATGAGATAATTGTTTTTCATGTAAACTATGCACAGTGACTAGCCATGCCCCAAGTGAGCTCAGAGATTGTATCAGCAAGTAGGAATGCCTCTTTTACCAGAGTGCATAAAAGCCTTGGTAACTACATTAACATTAGACCATAAAGCGTGGTGCTGTGGCTACACGACTTAAAATCATTAGACCAGAAAGACGAGCAAGTGTGGAGACGGTAGTCCACACGTTTGAAATGGTTAGAACTTTGAAAATCAACACGAGGTGAAGAAGATAAACTCACTAGACCAGAACATTGCCAGTCTGCTCTGAGTACACTCTACTACAAGCCAGAACAAAGAAGAAGGACATTGTGATCTCTGGTGGACAATCAGAACCTTACAAGTGAGCTGAGCGAAGACCCAGCCAAAACCTCCTTTCCAAGAGGGCTTGGATCAACAGAGATAGATGAGCAGCAAACACGTAAATACATTCATTGGTTTCTTACTCCAAAACAGGCGGTAGTTCGTGAGCAAAGTATGATGATTACTTTGAGGGTAGTTTCTAAATGTATCAGCGATAAGTTTGACTCTTTCTTTGTCTCTCCCTCTTCCTTTACCCCTCCCTCTTTTAGGAACCAAGCGGTCATGCTGTTGTTAGTCCGCTAGGGACTTTTTCTCATGTATTAAGTATGTGTGAATTCTGTGTTATTATTTAGTTAGCTAGTAAATAAATAATTAAGCCAATTTGTTTAGTGCTGAATGATAAGTAAAGCTGGGGTTCTTGCGGATCCAAGGATTATGTGACGTTCAGAATGCGACCGATATGAGGTAATGATTAAGAAGTGACTGTTATCGATATATAACATATATCATTCAGAGTTACATTCGGGAAATGGTAGCTCTATAAACAACTTATTCCGTGGTGCCCCAAATTCCTAATGAGTTAATTGTTACATGATTCATTTAATCGGGTAACAATTAAACATAGTTAGTTGATTCGATAAATAACAATCATCACATTCATGAAAGTTTACAAGGGTTTGAGTGAGAGGACTAACTGGTGTGGCCACACACTTCTCAAAAGTGTGCACAGTTCCTAAGTAATTTCTATGCACTTTGATGACTCAAAGAAGAGTCTTCCAACTATAAGGGGATTTTTTTTGCTCTCCTAGCTGTGCCATTGAGGGGCTAGACAAGCACACTTGTAATCGTTTGGTTGGAACACAACCCTGCATCCCTGCCATCACACAATGCTGTTGTTGTTTATGCAATCCAAAAAGAGTCCATCATAAATCACAATCTGGGTCAGGTGGGCATCATTTGAAAGGTTGTTCTATTGCCAACATGACTAGCTAAATTATATAAAATATGATATTACAGTGTTAGGCTTTCACAATGCAATTCAGGGAAAAAATTATTGTAATTTTGGTGCGCATAGAAAGGAGTCATGAGTGTATTCAGGTGCATGTGCTGAACAACCCAGGGTCTGACGCATGTCATCTTGTAACTGTACATCAAACATAGTGATCATGAACGTTGACACTGTATATGACATGAGTTTTATTCTATGGAAATGTGAAGTGCACATTTGGTCTCACAGGTGTTTGGCTTGCTTGTATGACATCAAAGCTGTATTTATTATAATCATCTTTCAAAATACATAGAGTCCTCTTTACAGTATTTCCCTCACTCAGACAACCAACCCATTTCAAAAGTTGCCCAATTAGCTCAGAAAGGCTGTCAGTCAAAACCCATACA